TGAAGGGTACACAACGAATAAAGTTCCTTTCTTATAGATCCGGGATGGTACGTAATATTTTTTGAACTCAGCCAATTCTGCAAGTCTTTTTTTAACCACTTGGTTGTGGGCAGTCCTTCTATAAGTCTGGAGTGATAACTTGCATTATCCATTACTATTACACAGTTCTTAGGAAGAAGATCTATCATTTGTTCGAACCATTCTTGAAAGACATCAGCGTTCATGTCTTCATGGTAGTCACCGGTATGAGTTGATTCAAAAACTAATAAACCACTCTCAACAAAACCGTTTGAACTGCCAATGTGTACTATTATCAGCCTGCGTCCCTTTCCTGATGGTGGGTTTAAACCAGTAGATAAGTTATTTACAAAAGCGTGCCCTTGACTTGTAACAGTTTCATCCTGCCAAAATTTATTTGGTGTATGACCCTCGTTGATCTATGTTTCATCAAGATAAAATATTTTTCTTTTTTGGTTTCTCATTTCCTTTATGGTTCTTAGAAAATGTCTTCTCCATATGACAATATCGCTTCTCTCTAATAAAATAGACTTTCTGGGGTTCTTTTTCCAGCGGAAGCCTATTTCTTTTAAAAGTTTCCATAACGTACTTCGACTCATTTCTGGGTAATCCTTATCATCTCGAACTGAGACAAGAACTTTATCCAATGTTGGAAATTCTTGTCTAAAGAAGAATTCATGCATTTTCCGTCGAAGTCCTTCTTTAAAATGATATTCTATTTGAAATTTTGGTTTCCCTGGAGCATTACGTGGCATTTAAAAACTACCGCATTTCTCTTCTTTAATAACTCTGTAAATCGTAGATTTCCCAACACCAAGTGTACTACTAACTAACTCAACGGTCTCATCAACACTTTCACATAAACGTTTGTCTGTAAATGATTTAAAACAATTAAATATTAATGTTTTTTTATTAACTGTTAAAGGACCAATTTTTCGGCGTTTACACGGCACTTCCAAATTTTCCATAACACTAGTATACACAATAAACTGCACCTTGCAACTGAAGTACCTACTTTTAGTGAACTGTTAAGAATTTTGAATACGCCACTTGGACCTTCCTACAAAATGGAAAAACCCACTATCACATTTTCTGTGGAATAAGTTTAGAAGGTAATTATCTAGTCAATTACTGTCGTAGATTCCTGGAATTAAAGAATTAAATGTTTGATTGTTGAAACCCTTACTTCGTGGAATGCACTCATTTCAGATAAAATAAAACGTTTTATTTTATCTAAAGAATTAAACTTTATTTTGCAAATAGGTAGGTACTTATTAAACTTTTATTGGTTATATATAACCAATAAAATAAACATCTTACATTTCTTGCAAATTCATTAGTACCTGTTAACCTCCATCACTCCGACACTGGCAACCTTATTTAGGGATTAGTAACCCTCACAACTATTGTATTCTATTCTGCTCCAACCTTTATACCTGGTAGTCATACTCAATTTAAAATTGTTTTCCTATATACTTCTGTAAACTTGTTGACAAATATCTGTTTTTCATTTTATCGTACCGTATCAACAGTTTAGGGATTTGCATACATAATTTATTGTTTTATTACTCTCCCATACATACAAATACACTATAGATCTATTTCATAAGACGACTTCACGCAAAAGTTCAGCGATTCTACAAAAGTGACTTATTTGTTATGAAAGTTGTACAACAGACTAAAATGTTATTTTGTTGTCGTCCTAACCTTAAAAATGAACAAAATTGAGTGAAGTGAAATGTTCGAAACTATTTTACGGTAAAATTGGTGGATTGAATGTAGATGGAAATTGATTTGATCCCCGTCGTACGGTGACAGGCAAAATTAATAATAACGTTATTTTTGTTCGTAACGTAAGATCAAATTTAAATTCATTCAAATAAATAATCAATTACTGCCATCGACAACTGACATTTAATTTCAGTACTGAATTCAGTACAGTGGTTCAATAATGAACCACTTTACTGACTTCTTCTTCTTGTAGTACCTTATTGGCGGCTGCTCTGAAAAGATGTACTGAGCTGCAACTATACCACTCTCTTAGGTTTCTTAGCCAGGAAATTCTTCGTCTTCCTGTGGATCTTTTACCCTGTCGAGAACACGTAGCATCTTCTTATCCTCAGCTCCAAAAGGTCTAGATTAATAAACATTGTTTTCATTTTTATAAATGCTGTTATATAATTTATATTTGTAGTTACTTACTCTTTCTACTTGTTTTCCCTTGATATCTAGCCATTCTACAGTATATTGCTTAGAAATAATCATGCACTTCCACGTATGTGGAAGGGTTTGGAATAAAATCACCAGCAAATTTTGTTCCAAATGTGAAAAATGGGTTTGTGGTGGCCATTTGAAAAAATCTGTGTAAACTGCCATCAAAATGAGGTTATTATTATATTTGAAAATAAAGTTTTGTTGTAATAATTTTTTGTTTTATCTTGATAAATACTCAGTACTGATTATATTTTTATAGAATATAAACTAAAAGTAAAATAAAATGGCAAATAAAAATGGATGACATATTTATCCTCCACGCCACTAAATATGTCATTCTTAGTCACGCCACTAACGAAGGGTAAAACAAAATGAAGAATTAAACTTAGACATTAGAGCACAGAATTTTAAATTAAAATTACCAGGATTTCAATTTTCGATTATATTTCAGTTTAAATTCTTCAAAATTTGAATTAATAAATGTAATGCCAATTATTGTATAGTCGGTTTGCTATATTTACGCGGGTTTCGGATTAATAAAATGATGCTAATGACTCATTGATAACCAGTTGCAGTAAACGACTTCCCAGAAAATTAGGTAAAAACTGCATTACTGGTCATATTTTAAACTACATTAAAATAACATTAGGGTAGGTATCAATTTGTTACAATATTGCAGTTGAATTGATTCTTTGCCAGTGTTGACATTGTATGTTTGGTGAAAATATTTAAAAATGCCTAGACGTGTGTTAGATGTAGATAGTCTAATTTGTAGTGTAAAATCAGAAGTGTAAAAAAAGAGTTCAAATCGGTAATGTCTGTTCAACAACGCGTATGTGATGCTCCAGGAATTAGTGAAACCAAACTAAGAGGAGTATTACAAAATCGCAATAATGAACGGCCGAAAGAAGATCACCGAAAAACTCGCCTATCATTGAAAACGAAAGATATTCCAGATGGAAAAAAAATTGAAATTCATGATACCATTTATCGAATGCGAGCCAACAAGGAACATGTGACCTTAAATACAATTCTCTCGGAATTAAAAGATAGAAAATTTGAAGAAATTGGCAGAACAAGTCTATGGCAAGTGATACATAATTTGGGTTTCAAATTTCAAAAGGAGGATAACAGAAAAGCCCTTTGTGAAAGAAGTTCTGTTGTGCATTAAAGAATTAACTTCTAATTAGAAAATATTCTAAATTAAAAGAAGAAATGGCAAATTTTATATATTTAGACGAAACATGGATATTTTCTAGGGGTGCAACCAAGAGAATATGGCAAGATGATAACGTAAAGTTTATCAAACATACTGATGGAGAAGGGAAGCGACACAATTTTACATGCAGGAGGGAAATCGGGTTTTATAGAAGGTGCTGATTTAATATTTTCATCTAAATCAAAATCAAGTGACTATCACGATAATATGAAAACATAAATGTTTGTAAAATGGTTACATGAAAAACTTCTCCCAGGTTTAAGTGAGCCCAGCGTAATTATTTTAGACAATGCACCTTACCATTCTGAAGTATTAACAAAAGTCCAACGAACTCTTGGACTGTTAATAAAATTAAAGAATGGTTGACAAAGGAACATATAGCATTTACACAACATATTTTAAAATCAGAATTATTATGCATGGCAAATATCCACGCAAAACGAAAAACCTTTGTTGTGGATCAGATTATTGAAAGTTACGGTCATCAAGTTTTACGTCTGCCACCGTATCATTGCCAGTTTAATCCCATCGAATATATATGGGGAATAGCAAAACAATATTATGACAACCATATTGGGCCTAACGGTTATGGCGACGACGCAGTTCGGGAAACTTGGCGAAAGGCACTTTCAATTGTAACTCCAGAAGTGTGGTGCAACTGTATATTTAAGTGCGAGAAACTAATAGAAGATTGGTGGACTCGTGAAATTAAAATAAACGAAATAAGTCCAATCATAATAACAATTAATGGTGATGACAGTGATGATGATGACGATTATGATATTTTTGATGATAATGACCGATTTTCATTTTTGTTGGCAAGTTAATTTTTTTTATTTTTCATTAGAAATTCTCTCCATGGAACAAATATACATAGACCATATTTTCTGTGTGAAGTGTAATATAAAATTATTATTAGGTTTATATTAGCCACATTAGACTCCATTAATGAAGTAATTCTCCTTATTATACTGTCAATTATATAAAACATTTTCCATTATTATTTAATTAAAAAAAGTTACGGATTATTTTTCATTTCATTTGACCAGTTGATATTTCCCCAAAGAGCAGGTAATTAAAACTGGGTACTTACAATAAAATTTTTAATCCGAAACCTGCGTAAATATAGCAAACCGACTATACCTTAACTAAATCCTCTTCGCACATATATTTTTAGCAGAATGAACCGTATTGAGCAAGTAATGAACTACAAATGACAGCCTTTTTAAATAACAAAATAAATATGCAGGTACATAACCGTTAACAATAGATGACCGGTCACACTACTCAACTCGAAACAAAAACACCTTCGACAAAGAATATCCGCTTTAACAAAATTTATCCATAATCACTTCAGTCTCACTAAATCCCTTACACAGTCCCCCACAATAGAAGTGTGTAAACAATAATACACAATGATATAAGTGACAAACATTTTTTTTAACTTATAGGACACATTTCATTCAAGTTATTGTATTAAAAATGTAGTGCAACTTTTTTACATTCTTGTAAAATGTCATTTTTATCAACTCTATTTCGGTGTTTGTGTATGTGCTTCGTGATCAACCGCGGTTCTTGGGATCCGAATGGTGTTAGTGCAATTGATCAAAAACGGCTAAAAGAAAAATTTGCGAACAAGGAAACCAAGAGAAAGGAAGCAGCTTTGAAGAAACCTGAATGGCTGAAGGAATGGACTATCAGCAAAGGATGGGTACATAATAAAAGTCATCTTTTAGAGTTGGGTAGGAAGAGAGTGTAAAGTTTCAAACTAAAATCACCACTTCATTTTCCGTCTCATTTTCTAGCTGAAACTGTTCTTTTGTCTAACTTTTCTGTTTTTTATCATATATTTACGAAATATGGTTATGCAGAGTTTTCTTCTGGTATGCGTTAAATTGACTACAATATTTTTCTGGAAATAAAGAAAACACACCAGATTTGTAAATAAAGCTACATATTTTTGATATTTCGATTTCTTTCTTCTTCCATGCCCCTCTCTCACAGACACTACATTAATTTTTAGACTAAAGAACTAACGATTTTTTCAAGATACTATTGATACAGGTATCTAACAACTACTTTTGATAAATTTGATGATAAATATAGTTGAGTTAAATAAAATATACATATGACAAATATTCAGCTATAAAAATTTCAAGAAGTTTCACTTACAGTTATTGCAAAATTGAAATTTTTATCCCAAAAGCTTTTACAGTGGGTGAAAATAATTATGATATCTAATGATATCAATATAGTATAAAAATAGATCAAGAACACGTTCTTTTACAAAATTTTGAAATATTTTTTTAAATAACATTTTTAATGTAAATTTTAATGTAGTGTGACCTCCTTTACCTTCGATGACAGCTTTGGTCCTTCTTCTTCTTTTATTTGTTCGTCTCCGTGCCAAATGGAAATGCTTCTCTCAATTACCTGCTGCTTATTTATGACAATTTCTTGGACAAGCCCCTCTTTATGAGCTTCCATAGATTTTCGATCGGTTTGAGTGATTACATGGTCACTTCAGTACTTTTATTTTTTTTACACGTACGATGTTACTGTTTTGTCTTATGGCACTGTGCTGAATCGTGTATAAAGGTAAGATCTTCCGATTCGCCAAACCAGTCTTTAATTTGTGGCATAAGCTTTTTATTCCAGAAATTCAATATACTGATGTTGGTTCATTATTTTCTTCGCAATCTACAGCCTTCCTGTGCCCTTGCTACTGATTATAGACCATACCATCATCCTGAAAGGATACTTTGCGTTCTTCACTATGCACTCCTTGCAAGCGTTTCTCTTCAACATTATTTCAGATTCATACTCTGTTAGTCGGTTTCTTAATGTTAAAGCCAATATCTTATATATTACATCTAATAGAGCAATTCCTCTATAATTTTGGCATAAGCTTCTATCTCCATTTTTGTAAATCTTTCATATGGATGTATTTTTCCAGCCTTGTAGCAATTTCTTATTTTTCCAAATACGTTTTATTAGGTTGCTTATTCGTTTGAGTAATAACAGCTTTATTATTTCTTCTGATCTCCTCCTGATCGGATATTTCGTTTATTTCGAATTTTAAGTTGTTTTGCTGCTGTCCGGTTTGTGATTGTATTTCATTGTCATTTACCTCTGGGTTTAGCTTCTAAAAGTATTTCGCCCACCTCTCTAGTTTTCGTGACAGATTACCTATTAGCGTGCCTTCTTTACTTCTGTAGAAGCATGCGATTTTGAGACTCGTAGCTGTATTAGCTTTGACCTTTTGGTAAAAATTATTAATCTCTTTCTTTATCGTATGATTTTCCATGTCTTGTAACTTCATTTTCCAGTATTCCCGTTTCTTTTTTTTTTAGCAGGTCTATTTTGAAATTTTCTTTGCTGCTTCATAACTCTTCCTCGTTTCTGCGATATTCAGTACATTTATTTGTATTCTAGCTTCATTCTATATCAAATCAATCTTTACTACTACTTTGCTTATTTTTCCTACTATAATCTTCTCCTTTTGTATCCTTTCTTGGTCAGTATCTTCATTTAAAATTATGCCCTCTAATTTTTTTGCTACTTCTCGTTTTAACTGATTTTTGACATTATAATGCTCGGTTGCATAGTTTCTGCTTGGGTTCCTTTGAAATTTCTTGTTTTATAATTGCTACTAGCATAAAATGGTCCGTGTTGCTGTCTGTCCCTTGGAAACTTCTAACATTCGTGATGGCATTGGAACGATTATTTTTAATTAAAACGTGGTCTATTTGATTGGCAGTGTTACTATCCGGAGAGATCCATGATGTTTTATAGATATCTGTTCTGTCAAAATCTGTACTCATGATTTTTATTTTTCTACATGCCATACAACAATATGGAGACTATGAAGCAGCGTATTAATCTGATTTTAAGATTTGTGGTAATATCTCTATTAGTGAGAATTTTCTTTAGTTTATAAAATGCGGCTTCAGCTCTTTTAGTGTAAGTTCTTATTTCTTTATTCATATCCTAGTTCTTGTTAACTTTGGCAGCCAAGTAGGTTGTATTGTTAACTCTCTCTAACTTTCTTCCATACGTTCTTATACTGAAATTATTATTTTCCTTATGGCTTGTTATTGCTCTCAAACTGCACAATTTTAAATCTATGAGCACATCGTCTCTTTCTTATCTTATATTTGTAACCATATCCAGTATCTTATAATTTAAAGCTTTACACTTACGCACCTAGGTAGAAAAAAATTATCAACAATGGACAATCAAAAATATGATGAACTATCAGATGATAGTTCTATATCGTTGGAAAATGTTGAAGATCTGATTTCTATTACCAGCAACATTAACTTGACTGAAAATATACCAAAGGCCAATGTCGAAGAAGATTCTTCTACACAAGAAGAGGAAATCAGTATTATGAGATCGACTAAAGCTAGAATCTCACAAATGTATAAGCAAGTCAACAAAAATTACAGAGACAATTTTCCGGTTTGTGGAGACGCTTCCAATTCAAATCAAGAACTGAGTCTGCCACAAATATATAAAGAAAGGCTATTAATGAACCAAGATCACTGTAATGTTTTTTCCGAACTATGGAAGCATGTTAAACCTGTACAAAAGAAGAAAATTGATTTGAACGACTATAAGTTTACTGTAAATAGTTTATACCAAGATATACCAATTTTGAACTCTACAATGGAGAGACAAACGCGCAGTCAGCGATACATCAAGAAAAACAGTTTAGGAAGGAACATTGCTCTATCGAATACTTTAAACGCAAAAACTAATCTTCTTGAAGACACTATATATGAATGTTCTGATGAAAACAGCAACCAAAACTCTTTAACTAACATTTATTTTAATCCAATATACTCCTCATTACCATTACAAAGCTACCATACCACAAATCCTTCACAATTGACTTTATATGATAGAAGAATGATTGAAGGCCACAGAAGGCTCAAACCGAAAACAGAGAAATATGTAATTAGGCACATTAGAATTAGGATAATGCTATCGCTGCGGATGGGAAAGATACAGAAAATAAACAAAAATGGTAAGATAAAAAAGAAGACGTTTTTTGGAATGCGTAGGTGTAAAAAAGGTTTCGACCAGAATGAAAATGTAACAATGCGAGTGGCAAGAATTCATGATGAGCAGAGAAGAATTGGAAATGGGAAAACGTCAGTCAAGATTCAAAATATGAGGTATGCTTTTATTTTTTTCACTTTCCTTTTTTAATTGTTTTAATACATGACAAAAGCAATTTGCTAACTTACTTTATGGATATTGGAATTCACTTTACAATTTTAAAAACAGTAACAATACATAACATGAACAGAAATATTTAAAAATAAAACATATGTGTCCGTGTTATGGACCATGAAGGCACTTACAGATTACAACTAGGGCGGCTATCAGACTGACACACTGCGACCTTTACAGATTTATTGTGCTTTAATTTGGTAATTAAAGCTCCTTATAGCTCTATTCTCTTAATGAACTTCCTCAGTCACTTTCATATAGACTAATGCTTTTGGTTTTCCTCTCCGAGTTCTAGATACCCCAGCATTGTGAGGCCTTCGCACTGACATAAGACGTGCAGAGCGGTTTCCTTTTCTTCTAGATATAACCAACAAGTATCCTCTTCTGTCAAGTCCATACGACTCAAATCATTATTAAGCCTACAATATCTAGGCAATAGCCCCACTATCGACCTGACAGTCTGTCGATTGTGGGTCAGTGAATTTGGCTGAATGTTCCTTAATAAACTTTTTAGCCTGTCTTTGTCCTGGTGCATTTTCAACCAATAAAAAGACTTTTCTTGTACCCATTTATTAACAGCTGCTCTTTTGAGTGTGTTCACAACTCCAAAGCAGATCTTCGTGCTAATTAATGGTCCAGTTTATCAGTCTTCTCATTGCCTACGTTTCTGAAGGTCCATCGTTTCGGTTTCAATGCATCACTTGCTTTGGTTTGGTTTTAATGCCAATTAAAAAACTTTTGTTGTCTCCATTTATCAATAGCTGCTGTTTTGGGTGTGCTCGCAACTCCAAAGCAGGTCTTCATGCCCTATTAATGGTTCAGTTTATCAGCCTTCTCATTGCCTACGTTTCTGAAGGTCCTTCGTTTTGGTTTTAATGTTTTCACTTTTTTATTCTTCAGTTATTTTGTCTAATCTGCTATTTCTCTTTTTTCGTCGCTTATCTGGATTATTTCTACAATTTCTTTGGTAACTCTTTTTCTATTTATCTCGTCAGTAATGTTGTTAGGGTATTTTTTTACTTCGGTATCCGCAAGCTGCAACCATTCGTCATCTTCAATCTTTTCGCCACCTTTAAACCATTGAAAATGTTCTGTAATATTTTTTTCTCCCAGTAACTCACAATAAGTTTTATCTTTTTCTATCTTGGGTCAATTTTATCTACTGTTTGCCAGCTACCGTTCTTATTTTATCCACCTATCTCTTTTGAGGCCTTATTATACATCCTTTTGTCTCTCTTGGTAAACACCTATCGGTTACTAATCCATAGGTATTTAATTTTTACCACCTTTTCCACGATGTACCTGATGACGCTAATGACACTATTTCAAGCATATTTCACTCTAATACTCTTTATGTTGTTGGTTATTTTTATTGAATAGTATACAAATGTTGTAAAGTAGCTTTTATAGTCATCATCAATAAGCTAAACTCTCACCAACGCATATATTCTCGCTTTCAGTATAACATTTTGATAACTATGTAGGCAGCCGACTTAATTCAAGTTTAGTAAAACATTTTTAGTTTTTGGCAAAATATAGTTAGATGTATCGTAAGTTGAAATAATATTACAAAACTAGATTTTTGGCATTTTTAAATACTTTTATTCAGTAACCATTCACCTTGCTGGCACCTCTTTTAACATTTATCTTCATATTATTTGTGTTGATTCTAATGCTGCTGTAGTCACTTAGTTGTTTTAAAATTTATTCAAGTTCCATACAATGCATTTCAGAAATCTACTAATATTAGAGCCTTTTATATATCAGAATTTATTGAATCACAACTTCTTTTTCTTAGAGTGCCGTCTCTCTACGGAGGTTGGCAATCATAATGGCTATTTTTATTTTTGAACTTGCTGCTCTAAAAGAATCAATCGATCTACATTGATACCAATCACGTAGATTCTTCAACCATGAGTTCTGTCTTCGGCCAACAGATCTTCTTCCTTGAATCCTTCCATGTATTATGAGTCTCAAAATTTCATATTTTGGTCCCCTCATCACGTGGCTTAGGTATTCCAGTTTTCTGGTTTATATCGTGGTGATTAGCTCTGTTTCTTTACCAACTCTCTCCAGTACTTCTTTATTTGTAATTCTATCAGTCGATGATGAAGTCTCAGCTCCATATAATAATATTGAAAGTATATAACAGCGAATTGATCTACAAATTTAGATTTTTGTACGTTAGAAGTGACTTCATTCGTGTAAATGCTGATCTGGCAATCTCTATTCGCCTGTTTATTTCTGCTGTATGATCATTGGTTTCATTGTTCAAAGTTCCCAAGTACTGATATTTTTCTACTTTTTCTATCACGTTACCATTGATTGTCAATAGGTGATGTATATTTTGTGGTCTTTTTTTAATTAGCGTTTATAGTAATTCCCATCTCAGCACTATTGATACTTAAACTTTCGATAAGATGTTGTCGTCTGCATATCGTAAGTTGTTAATTAATTTTCCGTTAACGGTAATTTCCGCTTTGATATTATTGGGCATGTTTTGGAAAATTCCTTTAGAATAATATAAGTTAAACAAAAGTTGCGATAAAACACATCCCTGTCCAACTCCTATACAGATTTTCATTTCTTCTGACTGTTGCCCATAAATTTGAACTATGGCACTTTCGTTCCAATATAATGTTTGTACTATATTTATGATTTTACTGTCAATACGCTTGTAATGCACGACAACTAAATTATTGTAATTTTGAATATTTTACTGAAACGTAAGTAATTTAGTTAAAAAGATTTTGTGATATCATGATAATAAATTACCCTCTCAAGATCTAAGACATACGTTGCAACATTGTGAAAAATTATATGCCAATACAAAAACGCGATACCTCCGACAGCAATCATCGAGAAGCTTTTACTATAATTGCAATGCTTTATATCATTTTCAATAATAGTTGTAACAACAATATTCAATTTTTAACCATCTGCGTCATTATATCTATTAAGTTATCAACGATAACCGTTGAATCGGCGTTGTATTCTTCGCTACCTGATCGCTATATCATTAAATGTAACAGTAACGGGATGATAATTATAGCAACTGGCTCTAATCGTAGGATGCGGCATATTTTATTATTTTTTGTTAATATTCAGATTAGCCAGAATCAGAAAATTTGTTATAATGAACTTCCCTAATGTTTAACTAATCAAAGTTAGCGTTCTAACAAAGAATTTAAAAATTTCTCAGCCAAAAACACAAAAGAAAACGAACACTGTAAATACAACGTTGATAAAATAATGATGTACATTATATATTACAGAATTGCAATATTGGTTTTAATTCAATATCATCCTACTTGTTTTATTTTCTCAAATTTTCATTTTTATTCATTTATCTTATATAATTTTATTAAAAATGACTCACTCAGTTAACATCAGAGTAAAGCTGGCCTAAAATCTTATTATCTAATTTAAATTTAAAACGCACGTACTACATATTTCTTATTTCTCAACATTCCTATAGACTTTAAACATTCTGAATTCTTATTTTATCTTCCAAAATCAATTCCACAATCAAATAAATGGTGCTTCAATGGGCTCCCCATTACCTCCAGTAATTGCCAATATCTTTATGGAAATCTTTGAGACCCGAGCACTATCCACATCAATGTTCAAACCCACATGTTGGTAACGATATGTTGACGATACATTTGTCATTTGGTCTCATGGCAGAGATGCTTTGGTGTCTTTTCAAACTAATCTGAATGGTATACATCTTAGTATCCAGTTTATAATGGTGGTGAAAACTGACTCATCCCTACCGTTTTTCGATGTTATCATAAAGGAAAACCAATCCCAAGATTGTCATCCCTTTGTTTATCAAAAACCATCCCATACAAATCGATACTTGTATCCTAACTCTCATGATCCACCTCCACAAATTATTTTAGTTATTCATATCCTTGTCTCCAGATCAATGCGCCTTTGCGGTAATGAACGTAGATCCGCTGAGTTCTCTAGTTTAAAGAGCCCTCATTCAAAATGGTTACCGCGAAAATCACATCAATAGTAGCATCCGCAGACATTAATCTTTCACTCAATCTCAACCCAAAGACTTCGACCGACCCTCTTTATACGAAAGCTTTTCTGCCTTGCATCAAAGGTGTCACTGACAAAATCGACAAAATTCTTAAATCAAGAGGAATAAAGACAATATTTACCCCCAACAAAAACTTTCATTTCTTGTCCGATTAATCAAAGACAACACTTCAAATGAACAACACGGAGTTGTTCCTATATAGGCCAAAGAAAGTAAAGGAGGCTGTGGCCAAACACATCGAAGAATCCAAAATAGGATTTATGAACATTCCATTTCTATTCGCAATTCCGATTTAATATCAGTTCTAGGTCAACACCATCTTTAAACAGGTTACAAAACTTATTTTGAAAACTTCAGAACCATAGCTCCCATCCGCTTCTATAAACCAATGGTTATCCTAGAAGCTATAGAAATTTAAAAAGGCCAAATTGTCCCAATAAAAGAGAAGACGGCATTACCTTCAACATGGAGACCTCTCATAAAGAAAATATCATCAGAAAGGTTAGCGTCATCCTCTCCCAATCCTTGCGCCAATCCCCATGCTAACCCCCACGACAACCCCCGCCTAAACCACGTCACCATCGATGGTATAAATGAACCGTTCTTCAGTGTAGTAGTGTCTGGGAGCTCGGGAGACTGAGACCTCGAAAGCCCTGAAGAAGACATCAAAGATGATGACGAAAGCTCGACGCGGTTCAATCCGAAAGACTGTTGATTTGGGCTTTTCGAGTTTGTATTTGTATCAGCCCGAGTGTCTGATGAAGTCATCATCACAGTCATTAACATCTTAGTAGATGTGTTGTGGTTTATAATTGGGCTTCAGCAGCTCGGACAGTTTGATTGATAATATTTCTCCACTGGTCGCGGTCATCAGTTATATGTATTGCC